TATTGTATAAAGGTTTTTTTCCCCATTTTTTCATTAATCACTATATTATGCACATTTGCTTATCATTCAAAATTTTCATGATCATCATTAACAATAACATACTTTCTGGTTAGAAAATCAGTACATTTTAATGTTAGAAAATACTGAATTCTATGAGACAAAGAACAAAAATATCACTCCTAATTCCATCATCCTCCCTCCCTCCCTCTCTTTTCTTTTCCTATCCTTTTTTTTTTCTTTCATATATTTGTATTGATTTCAGAGAGAGGAAAGGAGAGAGACAGACAGGCACGTCAATGATGAGAGTGTCATTGGGGATTGAGCCCGCAACCTGGGCATGTGCCCTGACCAGGAATCGAACCCTCATCGCCTGGACCCTAGGTTGATGCTCAACCGCTGAGCCATTCCCGGCTGGGCCTTCTTTTTTTATTTTTCTTTCTTTCTTTTTTTTTATTTAAGGGAAAATCCTGGTTCAATTTCCAGTAAAGGGCCCGGCCGGGTGTGGCTCAGCGGTTGAGCGTCGACCTAGGATCCAGGCGATCGGGGTTCGATTCCCGGTCAGGGCACATGCCTGGGTTGCCGGCTCAATCCCCAGTCGGGGGCATACAGGAGGTGGCCGATCAATGACTGTCTCATCATTGATGTCTCTCTCTCTCTCTCTCTCTCTCTCTCCCTTTCCCTTCCTCTCTCTGAAATCAATAAAGATACATTTAAAAAAAAAAAAAAAGATTCAATTAAAATAATTAATTAATTAGTTTTTCAGATGTTAATGATTCTGCAGGTTTACTGACATCTTAAATATCCAGCGTATCAGGTTAAGTACATTGCATCTTATGAAAAACAATGNTTCAATTAAAAAAAAAATTCCACTACAGGAAACTTTGCTGTTTTCTAGGGTGCCAGTAAAGGATGTTTCTGAAGGTGCTGGGCAGAGGAAAGAAGGAAATAAATATGTTTAGTGGATGGTAAGAAGCATGCTAAGAGCTTTTGTTTCACTTAATCCTACTAACCTCTAGGAGAAGCAGTTTCTATTTTATTCCTATTTTAAATGAGGAAACTGAGGTTCAAATAGGTACCCTGCCCAAAGTCATATGTTTTTTTTTTTAGTTTTTTTTTTAAATATATCTTTATTGATTTCAGAGAGAGGAAAGGAGGGGGAGAGAGGGAGAGAGAAACATCAATGATGAGTAAGTCATTGATCGAGCCCACAATCCGGGCATGTGCCCTGACCAGGAATTGAACCCCGATCGCCTGGATCCTCGGTGGATGCTCAACCGCTGAGCCACGCCTGGCCGGGCGAGCCACATGGTTATTAATGGACAGAGCCAGGAGAATCATGACCTTCTGATGTAAGTCTGGCTGTGCAAGCTGCACCACTGGCTGCTATTATACTCTTCCTGCCTTATGCTATACTTCTCAGTGGGGTAGAGAGAATGGTCCTTTTTGGGGGTGACATTTGTCAACCCCTCCTCAAGAACTTAATCATGGTGAAATCTTGGTAATTCCACCTGACTTTCAAAGTCTTTTGTAATCTGCCTTTCTTTTATTTAGTCGGTTTTATTTCCCATCACCCCCATTTTGTGCTCTCTCCTCCTCTCAGGCTGGTATTTCTATCATTGCTATTAATTTCCAGCTCCACGATTTCTGTATATAATCAAGTTGTATACATCCTTCAATGGCCAACTTACGCACCTCTTTATGCATTTCTCATCTATTCTAGTCCTCAGGGACGGTAACATTTGATCACCGCACAGCCCTGCTCAAAAGCTTTCAGTGATAACCTTTTATCTACTAAACAAAGCTGAGGCTTCTTAGCTGGGTACTCAAGCCAGCCATTCAGTCACAAATACATACCGAGAGCCACTTACGTGCTAGGCACTCTCTAGGTGCTGGGAGAACTGTGAAGAAGCAGACAGACAGGTCCCTGCCCTCATGGTAAACACACTGGACATTAAATCATCACAAATAATCAATTAAATAATTACCAGTGTGAATCAAGTGATTATAAGGCCCTCTACAATTTGGTCTCAACCTTGTATTCCATCCAGATGGGCTTACTCGAAGCTTCCCCCCTCTGAGGCCGTGCCCACCCCCTCACTCCTTTCCTGAACACAGGTTCTTCCTGACTCCACCCTGCACCCCTCCAGGGCCAGCTTTGGTTCTGCCTCTTCCATGAGACATTGCTAGACAAATTTAGCCTGAAGAACCTTCCCTCATTTGAATTCCTATCACGTATCCAGTCAACAAATATTTACTGAATGACTTCTTGGAATGTTTGATGAATGACTCTTCATGGCATCCTAAACACATGCTATGGTATTAAAGATTTAGCTTACATGGGGAGTTAGACTTTTCCTACTGAGGGATCAAGAATTTTTTCCCCTTCTCCTCTGGGTGGGGGAGACGTGAAGAGCCACAAAGCTATATAGTAACACACATAAAAAAATTACCAATAAACAAAATGACAAAAATTGACCAATTACGCATAATCCTGCTACGTGAAAGAGATCCACCACTGACAATTTTCTCTGTATCTTTCTAGTGGTTTCCTTTTTCTGTTTCTCTCTGTCTATGTCTACACCATTTTCCTCCAAATTAAATTTTTATCAAGAAAATCTTTTTTCCTGTGGTCTCCTTAGAAACACAAAGTCCCTCTATCCCCATTATCCTGCTCTCTTCTGCTTGGGGGTGGAATAGTTTGTCTTCAACAAAACCTAGAGAATTGGCTCAAAGACTCATCCATATCTTTCCCAGTTCATTGATCCTATGTACAAGAAGAATCTGAACATTGTTTTAGGGCATCTACTCAGAAGTCCTTTCTCAAGACCTACTGGGGACTCTCTTCAGAACAGCACTCAAACCTCTCATCTTCAAGACCTCAGCTGTGTGGGTGGGTAGACAGTGTAGCCATACTCGTGCGCAAACCACAGAATGTTGGGCCTACAAGAACACAGGTGCTCTTCCAGTCCACCCCCTCACTTTATGGATGAGCACACTGCAGGACAATGTTAAGTACTTCCCCAAGATCATGCAGCTGCTGGCGGAGGAGCCAAGATGCCAGCCCTGCTTATCTTTCCCAATTACCCCACTGTCTCCAGTTTGTTCAACAATTAACCCCAAACTAAAATTAAACAAAAAATACTGAGTGAAGCACTAACTCTTGCTAAATAAATTGTATCTGTTCTTACCACTGAAGGGGAAAAGGAAAGGCAGTTGGGCAGAGACTGGGCGAGATCTTTCAGCATTGAGTTGTTTGGAAACCCCAGGAAACCTTCTCATGGGACATCTTCAGTGCTATGATAGGATTAAAGCATGGAAGAAATAGTGGGGACCACCTATCTCATTCTTTCTTAATGTTGGAGGAACGGAGGGTAACAAAAGGCTGTAGAAAACGGTCAGCTCTTGATGATGAACCACAGCACTGTTTTGTGCGTATATTCTACTTTGATTCTTAACCTGACTTCTATATGGGTCACCGTGACCCGAGGTGCAGTTCGTAAAACAGTTTTCTCATCAGAGAGACCAAGCCGACTTCGCCTTAGTGTTCCCAGCCTCAGTTCGAAGCCCCTGTAAGGTGCTCTCTTGCCTTTCTGAATTCTAAAAACCACTGGACTGGGGTCTCTTCTTACAGCAACCCAGGAAAAGGAGGGCTCTGTGCACTCGTCATGAAGGCGAGAACTATAGTTTTAAGAGTTTTTCTAAAAAAAACCACAAAACATTCCAATGGGCTTGTAGGCCTTAAATAGGACATGAAAGGTTACGGAGGTGGGGTGGAGCCGATCCACCTGGTTGGACCAGGGCAAAGGCAGATCCAAAAGGGGAGGGTCCAGCTGTAAGAGGACAGAGGAGAAGAAGCTCTCCCGGGGTGCGCAACCCAGCTCCCTTCTCTGCGCACTTTCAAAAGCTCGCTGTAGGATGAAGAACACCGGCGCTGCCCAGCAGAGCCCCTGCCCAAGCACCGCGAACAAAGGAAGGGCCTCCTCCAGCCTTTTCGGGCTGAATGAAGTCTGGGCTTTACCTTTTAGGGTCCACCCATCCCTCCTCATGTACCCAATGGGCGGCGGCCTCTTCCCGCCGGGAGGCGTGGCACTCTCCCAGGAAATGGACAGGTGCCTCGGGCCAATGGTTGGAGCTGCGGCGGGCCAATGGGAGAGAGAACTGCTTGACCTGGGGCCGGAGAGCGAGGGGGCCCGGCACCAGAGGGCGGGAACGAGAGGGCGGATGACGTAGCGCGGGGGGTGGAGAGAGGCGGGCTGCGGGGTAGCTCCCACCGCCGCGGGGGGGACCCTGCGGGCCTGTCGGCGGCGGCCAATAGGAAGGCGGGGTGGCGCAGGGGCGGGCCCAGGGGCCG